ATTTCAGAAAAGTATTTGAAAAGAATGGGTTCACTTTAGAAATTCTTCCTATGCAAGGAAAAAAATTAGATTTCGCCATGGATATGTCCCCCTCAAATGAAGAGTACTGCATCCCTCAAGATGGATAGAAAGGGGTCAATTCAAACTGTTGGTGTGATCGAATGAGCCAGGTCATGTAGGAGCTCACCAGTCACCAGAAGAAGATATGTTCACGGTTGAAATTAATTGTGAAAGATTCGAGCATCAAATAAAAAATCTTAATGCAATGGGTGAAGTATTCCATAATCATTTTATACCCCTTTGGAAGCACTTACATAACCAACACAAGACGTATATTAGCAGCTGCCCCTCTGCATGTGTTATACTTTCTAAGGTTTACATGCAAATTTTTGACTTTTTGCGTGTTATCTTTGCTCTTTTTTTGGTTTTCCATGGGCGTTTTTTTCTCTTTTCTAAACTGAAATTGCTCAACATATTTAGAGTAAACCAGTCAAATCGATACACTGACAAGTGAATTGAACAAAACTGTTATGCAAGTCGGAGAGGCTCGATATGATGAAGAGTAAGCTTAGCGCAAATAGAAGTAAGCTCAATAGGCAAATAAGTGTGCCTAAAATAGAGTTAGTGACTGATGGACTGAACTTAGAGAGAAGCACAGAGCAACTCACTGGACCGAGTTCAGATGAGGAACCCCGGAGCATAGAAGTAGAGAGAGGATAGGCTTACCAAAATCTAAGTATCCAACCTAAAACCTACTTAAAACCTTAAGACACTTATGGTGTGTGTTTGGTATGCCTGAAAATATTTTTTAATTTTTTCATGTTTCGTTGGCTTAAATATTTTAGAAAATATTTTCCTCATGACTATATGAAATAAAAGAAAATAGTGCTATGACTATACGGAATAAAAGCTTCTGGCTGATAAGCTTGAAGCTGGGTGCTTCTAAAAGGGATTACCCAATGGGTTATAACCTTTAGGAATTGCAATATTTTATGACAATGTTGATCATCTTGATGAAGTAGATCCGTTATTTTGATACCAAGCAGCCAATCCAGATTAACGTTAAGTCAAGACATAAATGCACAAAAAATCCTATAGCAGAATTATGAGTGTAAAGATAGGGAAAAGGAAAGAAGAGAATTAAGAGAGGAAAAATAGTATAGGAGTTTGCAGAAGCAAATCTAAAATTCAGAGAAGAAGAGAAGCAGAGGGTAGGTCAATTTGCCTAAACACAGATCATAATCCAACCTGCCCAATTCAAAATTATTTTTCATCAATCATACTATATTATAAGTATGAAGACACAAACTAGAAATTGAAAGATTAAAATAACCCTATAAAGCTAAGTGACTATAATGCCCTTCAACATAATATACCTTTAAATAATTTTTGTCTAAAAATGTCAATACACATTCTCACAAAATCAATTTAAAAAGTTTAATTAAAATAAACACAAACATAGAAGCCCTTTGACCTTCACCATCAAAAAGTAACCTCATATTAAATACTTTATAGGTACATGAATGTGATTAACTGGAATTCTATTAAATGATAAATTACAATTACGCGTTAATTGAAAAAAATTCACGTCTTAGCTTTAGCTGTTGCTCCTTTATCTTCCACCCTATCCTTTGTAATCCTTTATGTCATTTTATAAAATGTATAAGTTTAGATCACTTCATTATCCATTAGTTATATCAGTTTTCTCATAAAAACCAAAATATTATAAAATATATAAATAGTACTATGGTGGATGTTCATAACTCCTAAAGAAGTTATTCCAACTAATTATCTTTCATACTATATTAAATGTGGGAACACCTTTAAGTTAAAAGTTTATTTACGAAAATATTTTTTTAAAGTTGAGTGGCTAGTTTATCCCTACTACAAAAATTATCACTTTCTTTTTTTTTCCTCATTAGTTTATAATTTAGCTTATTTTAAAATTTTCAAAAGTGTCTAAATACATTGCAAAATTAAAGGAGGAAGATGAAAATACTTCCGTTTTCAAAACTTTTTATGGTCCAAGACTATTAACGTTTTAGAACCTTTTAATTTGCTCTTATAAATGAAAGATCATGATAATCTTGCAAACTATATTGGGACACTGAACAGTATTTGACAAACTATAGTGGAAGATAAACTTGAGACTTGATCCAACCTTCTAAAATAGAGTTTCAAAATCATAAATCTGGGAATTTCAGTTTACATAAGTAATTTGTGGCATGGTATAGGCTTTTTTTTGTTATTAATTAGTTGCAGAGCTTTTACTTGTATTTTATTCCTTCTTTTTTGCAGGTTGCAAGTTTATGCTTCTATTGATTTCTCCTTCCCGTTTGTCCTATTTATGAATCATTGCATTTGATTGTTATGTTTCTTTTAACTTCTGTTGTAATATTGTATTGGGCAAATTTGGCTCCCCACGTCCTTACACCACATAGGCACGCCTTTCTTATCAAGGCCGGCCCTGCTAAGGCCGGCCCAAGTGAGGCCGACCCAAGTAAGAACGACCTCGACAATAAGGTGGCCCAGTTGACAAGACTCGAAACAGTGTCGTTTGAAGCTCTGACTCATCCGTACACTGAGGCCACCAACTTCTGTACTTTTCTTTTAGTATTTCGAGGGAGAGCTCCTAATATATAAAGGAGACCTCCCCCTTTTGTGAGGACTCGTGTGTGTTTTGATATTCAGAATATACAATCCTCATTCTCTCTCTACTTTTATCTCTTGCACAAACTGTTATCGGTGTTGCTTACCTTGTTATCTTCATATATTTGGAATACTTAGCTCAAAGCTATCATCGATCTAATCTCAATATTAATCTCTAAGCCTTATTACATTTGATTCCGATTTACCCTCTTTTTATAAGATTGATTGTTCTTGAGCTTAATAAGCATCCGTATAGCTTTTAGCCAAACAATTTGGCCCCGTCTGTGGGAATTTCGTGAATCAAAGCTGTAGTTTGTTCCTAGAGATCTTCCAAAGAACCATTCTGTCAACATAAAATGGCTGAAAATAAGGCAAGAATGAAAGCTATTGTGGGTATTAGGGCTGATCTTATGGACTCCCTCAACACAGCTGCTGAAGGAGATGCTGTACATGCAACCCCTAGCACCATGATAAACGCGGAAAACCCACCACCTCCCCCTTCCGAGGATCTGATAGTTCCACAAGAAAAGGAAGCTTCCACATCCACAACTAAAGAAGTACCCCCTGAGGTAAAAAGGTTACTAGAAGAATGGTTGACAAACGCTCTCAGTGGCCTAGCTGAGAAGCCATCTCAAAACGCTAGGGGTACACCAACAATCGACCATGCTGCGGCCGAAGATGAACACAAGATCACTCAAACAAACGACGTTCTTGTCGGTGCTCAGGCTCACGACGATACGCTCACGACCATCCTCAAAAAGATGGAGAAAATGGAAAATGAAAACAGATCACTTCGCGACCAGATGAGAGAACATCAAGAAAGGGTGGACAAGATCTCAGGAGCACCTAAGCTGTTGCCGAAACGAGACATGGGTAAGTTCGTGGAACAACCCTACACCGAAGGAGCTGCACCGTACCCCATCCCAAAGACCTTCAAAATGCCTCCCTACTTGAGGGTATATGACGGAACCTCGGACCCGAGGACCATCTGATTCACTATATCACAGCAGTCAAAGGTAACGATCTATCAAAGGAGCAGGTACCGTCCGTGCTTCTGA